GTAACCACATAATTAAAATTAGAATTAAAATTAAAATTACACACTACTGCTGCAGAGCAAGTATGGACTCGCTACAGAGACACACTGCTGAGCATATAAGGTATGCTGCTGCTGTATGAATAGGCATCCATGAATCTCGTAGCAGATCAAGACAGGTGGAGCTGGGGGAGGTGGAGGTTTTCTGAAGAACTCTGATAGCGCACAGCAGGACCAGCTTGCAGCAAACATTGAACCAGACTATTTAAAAGCAAGCAATCTCATTGGCTGCAGAATCACCAGAAGCCAATCAGCTTGTGCCGATATATATATATATATATACACACACACACACACACAACAAGATGTGACAAAAATACACGCCATCCAATTAGGATTCATTAAAATTGCCATGTGGGTTTATAATAGTAGGTGAAAGCTATGTTAGCTATGTCACCTGCATCAACTTATTTCATTTGTCTGTCAACAGGCAGTTGCTCTTTCCACTAGTTTGTCTTCATGCGAGGTGACAGAGTGGATATTTTTTTCTCTACAAATACAGTACTGCAAACATTTTGAATAGTAATTATCTCAGTCTGTGAGAACAAGTATGAACGTGATATAAAAATCTGTTGCCGTCCCACTGCTTGGGGAGAGAGTGAACAAGGAGCAAGTTGCCTTGGCAACCGAAAAGACTTGTATGCTCATTTAAAGCGGCAAATTAGATTTGTGTGGCCAACTGGGTTCGTTTGCACAGATTTCACCAGCTGATGAGCTTCTATTATTGCTTGTTCAATATCTCTTGAGATGTCAGAAGGAAATCCAATACAGAAGCCCTGTGATTTGTGTGGATTCAATAGAGAAAAACAGGGAATGTTCTATATTTGTAAAGCTTGATAGTCTTGTATCTGCTTTCGTCTGATGGATTGAACAATAAGAGCAGAAGCCATGAGTGGTGTCCACACAAAGGAGCGTGCAATGATTCACATGATCTTGGAATCCTGTTATTTCCTTTGTATACAAATGAAGCCTGCTATGTTTTAGGTTATATAAGGTGGCATTTGTCTATTTGCTTTGAACTCATGAAAAATTGCTTAATTATGCTTGATTTGTGCAAAAGGGAGCCAAGTGACATCATGTGTTCTTATGTCCGATTTATGGCATGGAAGCTTAAATCCATTGAAGGTTTTCAAAGGTCATAATCTGATTAATCACCTTCAGAATTTGATTGACACTCTAATATAAGGATGGAGCTTGTGAGACTTGTTTCTGAAAATGTAATCTGACACATTTCATTTGGATATGTCCTCTAGACTGCATTTTCCATGCAATTATGCTTTTTACAAATGCTTCATTGGCTTTCTTTCATTTTATATCCTTTCAGCTATACATATACTCTGATTTTACAGAGTATGGTGAATGGAGAATTAAAAAATAATTCTCTGATTTTAATTTAATTTTATTTTAATTTTATTTTTTAATTCAACCTATATATTTCTTTTTCTCAGTGAAACATAATAGGAGATGTTTAGCAGAATGTGCACACTGATCTTTTTCTATTATTTGTTGTTTATTTTTATTTTATTTTACATATTTTATTTTTATTATATGTGTGTGCGTGCGTGCGTGTGTGCGTGCATGCGTGTGTGTGTGTGTGTGTGTGTGTGTGTGTGTGTGTGTGTGTGCGCGCGTGTGTGTGTGTGAGTGTGCGTGAGAGAGTGTGTGTGTGAGAGTGTGAGTGAGTGTGAGAGTGTGTGTGTGTATGTATGTGTATGTGAGTGTGTGTGAGAGTGAGTGTGTGGAAACAATAATGGTATACAGGTTTGGAACAAGTAAAAATAAACAATGAGAAATTTCGTTCATTAACGACTCCTTAGTTTTTAAGTTTTTGTATTATCATTATTATTACCATTGTTACTTTTATGAGTTATAATGGTGGTACAAATATTATTATTATTTTAGTTTATGCTTTTATGAATTAATGACTTGTATGAAAGCTTTTTTTTTACCTGTCGAATGATAATTTGTGTTTGCATATGTCCCCCAGTTGTTCTACTTTTGTTTTGTTTTGCTTGGCTTGGCTTTGCTTTGCTTTGTTTTGTTTTGCTTTGTTTAGCTTTGCTTTGCTTTGTTTTGTTTTGTTTTGTTTTGCTTTGTTTAGCTTTGCTTTGCTTTGCTTTGTTTTGTTTTAGTTTTGCTTTGCTTTGCTTTGCTTGACTTTGTTTTGTTTTGCTTTGCTTTGCTTTGCTTTGCTTTGCTTTGTTTTGTTTTGTTTTGCTTTGTTTAGCTTTGCTTTGCTTTGCTTGGCTTGGCTTGGCTTGGCTTGGCTTTGCTTGGCTTTGCTTTGTTTTGCTTGGCTTTGTTTTACTTTTTTTTGTTTTGTTTTGCTTTGCTTTGCTTTGTTTAGCTTTGCTTTGCTTTGCTTTGCTTTGCTTTGAATTGTTTTGTTTTGTTTTGCTTGGCTTTGTTTTGCTTTGCTTTGTTTTGTTTTGCTTTGCTTTGCTTTGCTTTGCTTTGCTTGGCTTGGCTTGGCTTGGCTTGGCTTTGCTTTGTTTTGCTTGGCTTTGTTTTACTTTTTTTTGTTTTGTTTTGCTTTGCTTTGCTTTGCTTTGCTTGCTTTGCTTTGCTTTGCTTTGTTTTGTTTTGCTTGGCTTTGCTTTGCTTTGCTTTGCTTTACTTTGTTTTGTTTTGTTTTGTTTTGTTTTGTTTTGTTTTGTTTTGTTTTGTTTTGTTTTGTTTTGTCTTGCTTGGCTTTGTTTTGCACCAGCATAATAGTGTGGGGGGGATATTTCTTAAAGAGACAGAAACTGGGAAAGTGTGGAGTGTAGACAGCCGTTTCACTTTGCTATTAAAAAAAAGAAAAAGAAAAAAAAAGTTAGTTAATTTGTTGTATTATATATTAAAATGTATATTTAACCTTGTCACACAGTAGCAAAGTAAAAAAAAATGACTTTAATAAAGCAGAACTGTTAAAAGACTGCAGAAACTGATCTTGTGATGGCACTGTTTTATAATTTGTCGCCATCTTGTGGCGTAATATATTTTGGTACCTGTCAGGTCTGATGACAAGCTTCATAAAGGTACAAATAATGCCAAAAAAGCAACTATATTTAAACTACATCATTTGAGAGAAGTAGCACTAAATCCGATGCTTATTCCCCATGGACACAGAATGCAATTCTTAATATAGGCTATTCTGAAATGAAACATGAATATGTGGATGCATTTCAAGTGTTACATATCTGTTGCTATTATTATTATTATTAGCACTGTTAATATTGTGAGTGATATAGACACAAGGTCATCCACTAATGAGGGGCCACAGGGGACACATTTGTCACATTTCCCCTCATCAGTGTCACCATGGTTCCTCTCTGTTGTTGCTTGGCAACCGTTTCATCCTACAATTGAAGCAAACATCAAAGACTCCAAGATTTAAAATCATCCAATTACACAATGGGATAATTTGAGATGAAATATTATGTGATAGTCTTTCATTATTCAATTTCATTATCACAATTAATCAATCGTCATCAAAAGTAATCACAATCAGACCATCCTTCAAATAGCCAGGATAATTCGCCCCTTTCAAAAATGTTCCATGGTCACCATAGTTGCCTACAATATAGAGGAGTCTGGGATGAGCTGTAACAATGTCACTTTAACCACACAGATATGACCTGCAGCGGTAGAATAAAAATCATACAGGACCACCCTTTTAAGATGGCAGCAGAAGTTATAAGTCTCTGTTTAGAAGAATAAAAGATACATTTTGAGGTATGGAAGTAAACCATCATGTCTGGCTTATTCATTTGATTTGTAATACTGTTAATGAATGTTAAATTATCTATATAAATGGCTGGTATCATCTGAATCAGCAGGTTATCTTGTTTAATTTTGATTTTAAATATTATAGTGCTGGGTAGTAGCCGATTATATGTAATCTGGATTACGAATTAGATTCCAAAATGTAAGTATTGTAATTAGATTATATTATTTTTTAAATCCTCATAATCAGATTACAGTTACTTTTTGTCAATTAAATGATTACAAATTACTCACACAATGGCAGTAAATTATTCATCATTTATTTTTTATATATATATTTTTTTTTTCATTTGATGAAACTTTTTGTCAGTCAAACTCCTTTGACCTACTTTATTAATTAAAATATTAATACTTACTTTATTAATTAATAAAATAATTTATTTATTTTAAGTCCACCTGAGATTTAAAGTTAATCATTTCAATCATTTTAGTGTTCTCTGATGTCAGTTAATGGTCATACATTGTATTCTATTTTATTCTCTTTTGACAAGTTATGTCAAAAGTAATCAAAAAGTAATCCAAATTTAGTCAGAATACATGACCTAAAATGAGTAATCTTGATTATATTAATGACTACAAATTTCAATTTTTTTTAACATTGAATTTTCAATCAGTAACAGACTATTATTTGTAAGTAATCTACCCAGCACTGAGAATATAACACAAGCTTTTCATCTTCACATTAAAAAAAAGAAAAAGAAATAGAAAAAGGAATCTCATCACTGAGCAGACAGGGAAGCTTCTAAAACCTTCTAATGTACTTCTGGACATACAAACATTGAGCAAGTTGCACAGGCCTATAATTAACACAGTTGTGAGAGTTTACAGTTTAACACACAGCCCTGCGGTTTCACAGACAAGGCCTAGTCCCAGACTAAAATGCATGTCTGGGCTGTTTTAACTGAAAGAAACTTGCACTGACATATCTTAAAATATATCAGTGCCATTTTTTTTTTTGTCTCAAGATGCACACGAGTAATGTTATTTTCTATAGCATGTTTATAAAAGATACTTAAATGTCCTAATTGAACTATGGCCTAATCCTGGTTTAACCTAACCCCTGTCTATGAAACCAGGCCACTGTCTGATATGTTTTTTTTTTGTTTGTTTTATTTCATTTTTATTCTATTTATTTGATTAAAAACTGGTACAAACAGCAGCACAAAAGAAGACGAGGAAGCGTTTTTACTCCACACTGGAGTTCTTCAGATGAACTGAGGAGGGCAGCAATACGCCTTTGAAGCGTCTAAGCTGCCGCAAATCACACAAGAAGAAGAAGAAGAAGAAGACCGTTGTTTTTTATATCAAGCATCATTTATTACACTTTAATCGCGACAGGATCCGTTGTAAGGCTGAGAGAGCTGGTTGTGTTCCTGTGTTACTGAGGGCAGCTGACAGCAGATAGTAGTTCATGGCAGAGGGCAGCAGCAATCTGAGCAATGCTCCTCCAGGAGACCCGCAGCTCATCGGGCTCATAGTGCAGCATCTGAAGAACAGAGGCCTGTTTGATGAGTTCAGACGAGACTGTCTGGCAGACGTGGACACGAAGGTGAGATCTAGATGTACATATGAACAATCGAGGCTGTGTCTCAAAACCTGGTGAGCTGCCCACATAGACAACATTTCTGGCCATCAGAACGCTCGAACACGCCCATAGAGGGTCTAGGCATGACTTTACCTGTCTGGCTATTTAGGCAGTTCACTCGGTTTTGAAACACTATCTGTCTGTCTTTTTCTATCTATCTATCCATCCATCCATCTATCTATCTATCGTTCTATCTATCCATCTATCTATCTATCT